TATTTATTTTTGTGTGTAATTTTTAAACAATGGTCAAAGTCTTCTTCTTGGTGCTTTCTGCCTATGTGGACCCTGACCGTTTTGAACCAACAAAAGTGCTGAAAGCCAGCACAAACAGGTGAAAGGTGAAAAACTTCCCCGGAATTGCTGGGAAAACATTTACCCTGATGACAACAAATGAGAAAATACAAACTGGATATAATTTTAAACACAGTGTAATCAAACTTATAAAGCTTTTGCATTCATTGTGTCAGCAAATCTGGGAGACCCAGCAGGGGCCTCAGGACTGAAAAAGGTCAATCCTCATCCCGATTCCCAAGAAGGGAAGTACCAAAGAATGCTAACCATTGGACAGTTGCACTCATTTCCCATGCTAGTAAGGTCATGCTTAAAATCTTGAATGCTAGTTTTCAGCATTATGAGAACCGAGAACTTCCAGATGTCCAAGCTGGGTTTAGAAAAGGAAGAGGAGCTAGAGATCAAATTGCCAACATTTGCTGGATTATAGAGAAAGTAAGGGAATTCCAGAAAAACATCTATCTCTGTTTCATCGACTACGACTGTGTGGATCATGACAAACTGTGAAAACCTCTTAGAGAGATGGGAATACCAGCCCATCTTACCTGTCTCCTGAGAAACCTGCATGCGGGTCAAGAAGCAACACTTAGAACCCTATATGGAACTACCAGTTGGTTCAGAGATCAAGAAAGGAGTATGACAGGGCTATCTTCTGTTACCCTATTTAATCAATACATTGGGCACGTCATGAGAAATGCCAGGCTGGATGAATTACAAGCTGGAATCAAGATAGGCATCAACAACCTCAGACATGGGGATGATACCACTCTAACCGCAGAAAGTGAAGAGAAACTAAAGAGCCTCTTAATGAGGGTGAAGGAGTTGAGTGAAAGAGTTGGCTTAAGACTAAATATTAAAAAAAATTGAGATCATGGCATCTGGCCCAATTACTGCATGGCAAACAGAAGGGGAAATGGTGGACGTAGTGACAGATTTCCTCTTCTTGGGCTCCAAAATCAATGTGGATGGTGACTGCAGCCATGAAATCAGATGATTGCTTCTTGGCAGGAAAATGATGACAAACCCAGACTGTGTGTTGAAAACCAGAGACATTGCTCTGCTGACAAAGGTCCATATAGTCAAGGCTGTGGTCTTCCAGTGGTCACTACAGTTGTGAGAACTGGACCGCAAAGAAAGCAGAACACCAAAGTATTGATGCCTTTGGACTGTGGTGCTGGAGAAGGCTCCTGAAAGTCCCTTGGACAGCAAGGAGATCAAACCAGTCGATCTTAAGGATGATCAATCCTGAATATTCACTGGAAGGACTGATGCTGAAGCTGAAGCTCCAGTATTTTGGTCATCTGATGTGCACAGATGACTCATTGGAAAAGTCCCTGATGCTTGGAAAGATTGAGGGCAGAAGGAGAAGAGGGCATCAGAGGATGAGATGGCTGGACAGCATCACCAATGCAATGAACATGAACTTGGGCAAACTCCGGGAGATGGTGAGGGACAGGGAGGCCTGGCCGCTGCAGTCCATGGCATCACAAAGAGTTGGACAAGACTGAGTGACTGAACAACAACACTCAAACTCCACCTGTAGTACATAAAGTGTGTTTGTTTTCTAAAGTTGAAAGGCCAATTGAATGAAAATAATCTAAAGTATAAGTGTTTCTTGGATTTGACTTTCCCAATAAGTGTGTGAAATAACTAATTGAGTTGGATGTTTGTTATTTTTTTAGTACTTAATACATCTCTGATTATAAACATGAATTTTTTTACTTTAGAAAATGTGAAAATTATGTAAGAGAATAACAAACATGAAATTCACTGGCTACCACCTAGGAAAAAATCTTATATTTTTCTAGATAGACTTTACTTTGAAAGTGAGATGACAGTGTTAGTCTCTGAGTTATGTTCAACTCCTCGAGACCCCATCGACTATAGACCACTAGACTCCTGTGTCAGAATACAGGAGTTGCCATCCCCTTCTCCAGGGGATCTTCCTGACCCATAGATCGAACCCACATCTTCCGCAGCTCCTGCATTGGCTGGCAAATTCTTTACCACTGAGCCACCTGGGAAGCCCTTACCAGATCCTACTTAAATACTAATGAGTCCCGTCTGGTCCTGAGAGTCCCTGGGACTTGTAGGACCGCAGCAGTGATTTTGCAGATCTCCATATTGGCTGGTACCCATCTTCCCAGCTCAATGCAAAAAATATGGGTGGAGAGACATACTTGGGACATGAGGACCACTTCTTGTTCACCTACTTCCTGTGACAGTCTTCCTTCCTTTCCCATATCCTGCCTCAGCATCCTCCCCCTCCATTACTCCTCATCCTCTCTCCCCATAAGAAAAGGAAAATTCACTACATAATGACAAAATCACAGAGTAGACAGAGTTAACACACCTATAGTGTATACATTAGACTGGATGCAGCATGCTCAGTCGTATCTGACTCTTTGCAACCCCATGGACTGTAGCCCTGTAGACTACAGAAACTGTAGACTGTAGAAACCTGTAGACAGGTTTCTCTGTCCATGGAATTTTCCAGGCAAGAGCACTGGAGTGAGTTGCCATTTCCTCCTCCAGGCGATCTTCCCGACCCAGGGATCAAACATGAGTCTCCTGCCTTGGTAGGCAGATTCTTTACCACTGAGCCACCTAGTTGATGGCTAGTGTGGCTTTATTCCCAGCAATCCAAAATCAGTGAAAAAATATTAAGATGGACTCATTGTATTGGTTAGAATTGTGAAATTGAAGAATCCAAGGCCTGCAAAGTTCTCATTATTTGAGATCTAGATGTGAAAAATAAAATCAGAGAAAACTAGGAAGTTGCTTTTTAAAATATTTCTCCATATCCACATTTTAATTCACCTCTGGTTAAACTCAAATGAAACAAAAAATGTCATATAACTTGCTAATAGGAATCTAATCTTTTTATCCTGTACCTAAGATTTTAAATTAAGGAAATCATAATCACATGAAGGAAAAAAAAAATTTTTAATTTTTAAAAGCACTCAAAACAATCTCATAGATTATGAATGCATAATAGCAAGAATGTAAAAATATGGATGGGAAGTGTGATACCATACTCTGTAACTTACAAGCCTCGTGAGGTCAAAAACAAAATGATGAACCAAGACCCCGAAGCTCTCTAGCAGAGTGCCAGGGAAACCACAGATACAGAAACAGTTTGCTCATTCCTCCTTCCACGGATGCCCCAGATGATTGATTGTGGCCAAGAATGACAGGGCCTAGGGGGCTCCCCTAGGAACCACTGGCTCCCCTGACATTTCCCACCTGGAGCCCAGGGTAAAAATGACTGGGGGAAATAAGCTTGTTGATTTTTTGATTGATACCGGAGCTAACTTCTCTGTGCTAAAGTACTAAACGGGCCACACCTACTCAATGTTAAAGACTCTCTCCTAAACCTCTCCAAAAGCCCTTAAGAAACCGCAGGAATGTCAGATGAGAGAGACTTATCTGAAGCAGTTTCCTGTACATGCCTGAGTGTCCAATACATCTGCTGGGACGAGAGACTTCTTGAGTAAACTAAATGCAAGAGGAACTTTTTCCCAAGGAAGGATGGACATGAAGGTGCTACCAGGACAATCTTACTTGCTTCAAGCAGCATTACTATAGCTGGGAAAGGCTGAGTGCCTGAAATTACCTGAAGAGATCCTGCAGAAGGTAAGATGGGATGTTTGGTCAGATGGGAACCCATGAAGAGCAAAGTCAGCAACACCCTGCACAGGCGGAACTCCATCCAAGGTCTAACATTCTGAACTTAATAGACTGTAAGGGGACATACCAGAGAGGGAATCCAGCCAGTAATATGTGCCTTCCTTGGACATAACCTCATCTGTCTTTGCCAGTCACCACACAGCACTCCCATCCTACCAGTCCAGAAGCTGGAGACCAAAGAATATCACTTTATACAGGACCTGAGAGCAATTCATTCATTCATCTGGTGGATGAGGACATTCATCTGGTGGCACCCAACCCCTATACCTTACTTTCTCTGGAGATTTCTGCTGGCTTACAGTTTTGGGCCTACATAGCTTCCCTGGTGGCTCAGTTGGTAGAATCCACCTGCAAGGAAGGAGACCTGGGTTCCATCCCTGGGTCAGGAAGATCCCCTGGAGAAAAGAATGGCTACGCACTCCAGTATTCTTGCCTGGAGAACCCCATGGAAGAGGAGCCTGGTGGGCTACAGTCCATGGCGTCACAAAGAGACCTTTTATTGCACATCCTAAAGTCCTGAGTCACAGGGATTTTTTGCTTTTGAATAGGATGACCCACAGACAAAATTGAAACGGCAGTTCTGCAGGATTGTGCCTCCCCAGAGATTCAAGAATGCTTCTCCCAGTTTCAGGGAAGCCCTAGCCAAAGATCTAAAGGACCTACAGTTATATGAGGGAGCCTTTCTTCAGTATGTAGATGACATTTTGATTGCCAGTGAAACCAAAGCTCTCCTAGAGCCTTTGAAACCTGGTTCATCCACTAATAAGCTGAGTGGCCCTGACCAAGTGCCTTGGCCTCCCCATTCCTGCATTTCAGCTTCTGTGAAATGTAAGCATCTCTCCCTCCAAGGGGTGGTTGCAGGATTCAGTGAGTCACACATACAAAAAGCACCCAAATAGTGCTGGCGCATAGTAAATTCTCAATACCTGTTGGTTATTATTATTCTTTATTATTTTCAGTCATTGTATCCTCAAGTTTAGTGGAGTCCCTGTGATCAGATCGAAGAAGCGAGAAAAAAAAATGTAATTGGCTTAACCAGCTTGAATCTCCCAGTTGTAATCTGTTCCTTTGGTTGAACAAACCAGTCCAGATACAGCAACTGCCTAACCCCTGGACTTCAGCAGGGCAGGCTTGGTGCAATTTCAGACAAGCTTGGCTACGACAGGACACTGGTGGAGAGGATTACACTTCAGTAAGATGAAGAAGGAGAATGTGCATCAAGAGATTCAGCTTCAATATTCTGCACAGAAGGGATACTCCTCCAGACTTTTCAGCCTGCAGAGAAAACAGTTGTGAAGAATACACCAATGTTAAACTCTGGGTTAAGCGGCATTCTTCTTCATGGATCCTATGAGCTTTGTGCTCTATCAGCCTCTCCCCTTCCCCCAAGATTTTATAAGAACCGAAGTCTTCCTCTACCTTCCATCAAACAGATCTGAATGGTGTGCTAGGAAGGAGGGTGGGGGGACGGGATAAGAACCGAAGTCTTCCTCTACCTTCCATCAAACAGATCTGAATGGTGTGCTAGGAAGGAGGGTGGGGGGACGGTGACCAGGACGCCAGAAAGCTTAATAATGGTAGCTAATAGATAATAACCCTGGAAGGAACAACAATAGAATAACTTGGGCTTGTTATGATCACTGAATGAGTTAATGATACATGCACTGGGCTTAGGGTGCCTGGCACATTCTAAGCTAACACTCAAGAGATGTTAGCTGTGTTTAATCCTATCATTCCAATTTTGCAAATAAAGAAACCAGCCTGGGAAATTTACCCAAGGTCACAAGTCCAATACATTAAGTGTTAGAGCTGGGATTTGAACCGGGTGGATTCATTCCTGAGTCCCACCCCTCTAATGCCTCCGGGGTAGAAGTAGTTTCCTCTCCAACAAGGTATTACTTTACTTTTTAATTTTATTTTATTTAGTTGTTCTGGTCTTTGTTGCGACACATAGGATCTTCAAACTTCATTTTGGGGGTGTGGAATCTTTATTTGTGGCATGTGGGATTTATTAATAGTAGCCCAACCATGGATAGAACCCAGGATTCCTGCATTGGGAACATGGGGTCCTAGCCACTGAACTACCAGGGAAGTCCTTTATTTTACCTTTTTTTTGTTTTTTTGTTTTTTTTGGCTGTTTTTACTTTTTTTTTTTAATTGGAGGATAATTCCTTTACAATGTTGTGTTTGTTTCTGCCATAAAACAAGGTGAATCAGTCATAAGTATACATATATCCCCTTTCTCTTGAGCCTCCCTCCCACCTCCCTCATTTTACTTTTGACACTCCTTTTCATTCTAAGTAGCTGCTGCTTGTTGTTCTCCAACAAAAGCAAGGGCTTCCCAGTTGGCGCGGTGGTAAAAAATCCACCTGCCAATGCAGGAGACTCAAGAGACTCAGGTCCAATCCTTGGGTCAGGAAGATCCCCTGGAGTAGGAAATGGCAGCCCACTCCAGTATTCTTGCTTGGAGAATTCCATGGACAAGGGAGCCTGGCAGGCTACAGTCCATGGGATTGCAAGAGTCGGACACGACTGAGTGACTAACACTCACTTTTCACACACTTAGAACTTTACTGGTCATTGCAAACATGTCCCAAGGCAAACTCCTGATTTCTTCCCCCCAAATGGTGATTCCATCTTGTGTGTGATTCAGGCAACACCAGAAAACTCCTTTGAATCCTAATGGGTTAGCAGATCTGATTGGCTCTGCTTTCCCAATGTATTTAGAATCGGATGGCTCTCTCTACTTACCATCACCCAGGTCCAGCCACTGTTGCCTTTTCCCTGGGTTATCACAGCAGTCTCCCTGTAGTCTCTCAATTCAGAAGTCAGAGTGGGGCTTTTAAAGCACAAGCCCCATCATGCCACTCCTCAGCTCAGAATCCTCTACTGGCTTCTCAGCGCCCTCAGAGCCCAAACCAAAAGCCCTCCTCACAGTGTCTGTATGTCTGCTTGCTCTGAGCCCCTGACACTGTTGACCTCGCTTTTTCTCCCTCTGCCGCTCACTCGCTCTGCTCCAGCCCCACTCGGCCTCTTACTCCAGTGCGCTAAACACAGTTCCACCTCAGGGCCTTTGCACTTGCCACCCTCACTGCCTAGAATGCTCTTCCCCAGGTATCCACATGGCTCATCCCTCACTCCCTCCAGGTTTCTGCTCAACTGTCACCAATCAGCAAAGCTTCCTCTGACTCCTCCTATTTAAGGGATCACTCTCCCAGCACCCTCCACTCCCTACTCCCTTACTACCCTACTTGATTTTTCTGCATAGCCTTTATTGCAGTCTGATTTGTGTGTGTGTGTGTGTGTGTGTGTGTGTGTGTGTGTGTGTGTGTGTGTAGAGAGAGAGAGAGGTTATTTCTGTATTCTCTCAATAGAAAATAGAGAAGTTGAAATAGAATAGAGAATGGAATGGAGTAGAGAAGGTAGACAATGCCTTCCTACAATTCACTTTCTCAGTTGTAGGATTCACTCTCAATCAACATATTTATTTGTGAGTTTATTTCTGTACTCCCTTACTAGCATGTAAGACTGTGAAGGCAGGAACTTTGTCTAGATGATACCCCCAAGCACCTAGAGAGTGCCTGGCACATAGTAGCTGCTCAATAAATACTTAGTGAATGAAAGAATGAATGACTGCCTCTGCTTTCTACCTATTAACAACATGTTCTCTCTTAAGATTCCAGAACTACATCCAGGAGTCCCAACAATATGCAGCAATTAAGGATATGTCTACCCTGCTGTCTCAGATGGTAAAGAATCTGCCTGCAATGCAGGAGACCCAGGTTCAGTCCTTGAGTTGGAAAGATCCCCAGGAGGAGGGCATGGCAACCCACTCCAGTATTCTTGCCTGGAGAATCCCCATGGGCAGAGGAACCTGGTGGGCTGCAGCCCATGGGGTCGCAAAGGGTCAGACGCAACTGAGTGACTGAGCACACACACCCGCTCTTTCCTCATAATGATTCTAGGTATTCCATTTTTGATTTTCAACACTACCAGAAAATGGCATATGAAATAAAAGTAGTTCCAGTTATCTTTCAATCCTTCTAGCTAAACTTCTACCAATTTAGACAGACACCTTGCAATCCTCCTAATTAACTCAGCCCAGCGCCACTTACGAGTTAAAGGTGCAGTACCGCCAGTTTCTGTTGAGGCTGAGTAGGGTCGCCATCTCCTCATCACTCAATTTAAAATCAAAGACCTGGAAAAGTGAGAATTCCAGAATATCATCAGCAAACCAATTCCTGGTGTAATTTGAGATCTCCAGCCACGCTAGTAGGGAGCAAGCTCGCATCCACAGCAGTAACTAGCCAAGGGAGTTTCTCCCATTATGTCCTCCAGACACGAAGGGCTCTAAATTGGGTGTCACACAGAGACTGCCGTGTCTCTGAGGTTTTGTGTTCCAAAGCCTTTAAGCCTCCTTGCCTTACAGGCGCTGGACTGCAGTGTGCAAGCCCCCTGATGGACACGTGGGTTCCTCCAGAAGGGCAGGTCTTCTAGTACGATCTATATCTCTCCTGCTGCCGGGAGGCAGAAGCGTAGGCAGGACTGTCTGCTGTTGTGTGTGGCCCACGACACAACTGCTTAGGGACAGCCAAGACCTTCTCAGGCCGTGGTGAAAGGTACAGCTGTGCTGAGACCTGACAGGATATCACCAGCTGCTCCCCCAGCCCACCCTCGGTCATGGGTCATTCATCTCAGCCCTGAGGTCAGCTCCCTGGCCTGAGAGATGGCAAGGTGGTGGGAAGGTGGTGGAAGCCCACAGAAAACACAAGGACAGCATGAGAAACCTGGTGAAGGAGTCTCTGCCATCCCCTCCTCCACTGAGAAAACCAGTTTGCTCCTTGGAAGAAAAGCTATGACCAACATAGACAGCATATTAAAAAGCAGAGACATTACTATGCTGACAAAGGTCCATCTAGTCAAAGCTATGGTTTTTCCAGTAGTCATGTATGGATGTGAGAGTTGGACTATAAATAAAGCTGAGCACCGAAGAACTGATGCTTTTGAACATCAGTTGGAGAAGACTCTTGAGAGTCCCTTGGACAGCAAGGAAATCAAGCCAGTCAATCCTAAAGGAAATCAGTCCTGAATATTCACTAGAAGGACTGATGCTGAAGCTGAAGCTCCAATACTTTGGCCACCTGATGCAAAGAACTGACTCATTTGAAAAGACCCTGATGCTGGGAAAGATTAAAGGCAGGAGGAGAAGGGGATGACAGAGGACTAGATGGTTGGATGGCATCCACTGACTCGATGGATAGGAGTCTGAGCAAGCCCCGGGAGCTGGTGAAGGACAGGGAAGCCTGGTGTGCTGCAGTCCATGGGGTTGCAAAGAGTTGGACACAACTGAGCCACTGAACTGAACTGAACCAGCCAGAACCTTACCTGAAAGTTCTCGGCGATGCGTGCGAGCATCACAGACTTGGGAATTACAATCACATGCCTCTGGATATGGAACCAGATAAGAACCTGTGCAGAAGGGGACTTCTCATTTACACTCAACTGCAACGACCACTCCCTCTACTTTTTCAGAAAATGAAACATCTCTGCCATTCACTGTGTCTTTATTAAGTTACAATAGCTAATATACACTGAGCATTTTATAGCTATCAGATAACTTCTCAGTCCTTTGCTCAGTTCTCTCTCTTAATCCTCACAACAACCCTATATTCTTCCTTTTTAAAAAATAAAGTGACCTGGGATAGTGTTTGAGATCATGAGGCTGATATGTAGTGGAGCTGGGTTCTGAACCCAAGTCTTTTGGCTGCAAAGCCATGCTCTTGTTCTTGGTCCTCCAGTCTCAACAGAAGTTGTTAGAGGCCATCCCTGTTTCAGTGATAACCATGCTATTTCCTGGAGGTCCAAACAAACAGACTTTCAAGGAAAGGCCTTAGAGGGCTTCCTCTCTTGTTCCCTTTCCCTTCAAGGAGTTAAACGGGTGCTTCCCCAATGGTCCAGTGGTTAAGAGTCCTCCTTGCCATGCCAGGAATACTGGTTCGGTCCCTGGTCTGGGAAGATCCCACATGCCTCAGAGCAACTAAACCCCGGCACCACGATATTGAAGCCTGCAACAAGAGAAGCCACCGCAATGAGAAGTCCCCATTCACCCCAACAAGGGAAAGCCCTCTCACAGCAATGAAGACCCAGCATAGCCAAAAAATAAGATAAAAGAAATACAGGAGCTAAATGAAGAGAATATTAAGAATTACACAAGACTAGTTTGCGACAGGTAAAGAAACTATACAGTTTATACCTGGGCTGTGGATTTTTTGTGCTTTGCAGCAATCTCATTAATTTTGGGATCCTCCAGTAGAGAAGGGTCCTCTGGTTTGGCCCTAGAGGGAGAAAGATGGTTGGTGTGCATAATCACCATGGCTACCATATGTAGATAAATATTACTCCGGTGTGGGCCCAAGGCTGATCGTCAGTCTTCCTCATGTGGTAGATAAGGCAAAAGGATTTGAAAGCTTCATGTCTCACCCAGGGGTCCACCTATGGGTTCTGAAGCCTCAGGAGTTTTTGCAAAGGCTGGTCCAGCGCTGGGTGGCTAAACTGGAGTATTCCCAAAGGGTTGCTGGTTTTTGTTTTTTTTTAAGTTCCCATATTTTCCTCACTGTTTGAGTATGCTAGGCACATTGCCTTACATGCATTTTTGTTTCTGATGGCCTTCTTAAAAGAATGTCGAGAGAAAGATCAGATGCCTCACCCAGATCTACTTGGACAGCCTAGCGGGCTGTAAGCTGTGACACTGATACCCTTGGACTGACAGTACTGGATCAATTTCTCCTGCGTGAGGTATGGGTGACATTCAATCTGTAAAAGCAAGCAATTCTCATCACTGGGAAAGTCCACCTGCTCTTTGAGCTGCTCATTGGGAGTTCTACACACAGAAAAAGGCCTATCAGCAAAGGCCAAATCCTGCCCCTGCTAGGCTGGCTAAACCAGACTCCGAGACCCGTCCCCCATGACCCACAAAGTACGTGATGCCTGACCTTCAAGATGAGACTTAGTGCAAAGCATTGAACTTGCCTCCAGACATCTAAGAAATAATAGAGCAGAACCCTTACCCTTTACTAAACAATTTACCTGGTTGATCACTGGTTTGTATTTCAGTCCAGGTTTGTTCAAGAGTCTCTCGATCTGAAAGTGGTTGAAGTTGGAGATCCCAGTGTTTTTCACCAGCTCCTCGTCCACCAGCTCCTACATGGCCTGTCATAGAAAGGGACGACTTTGGCCGCTGCTAGAGGGATCTCAAGGACCCTAGTTTGGCTTAGTCCTCTCTGGGACAAGAGCATGTGTGTGGATTAGCCAAACTAATAAAAAGAATTTGACTTCTAACATAAAGCCACAGTGATAAGAGAACAGACTCTGCATGATTTCAATACCTTTAGACCATGAAATTTTTGTACCTAGTTTTATGTCCCTGGATATGTTCCGGTGTCTCCTGGTTTATAGTCCGTGGGAACTGGAATAGAATCTGTATCCTGCTGTTGTGTGAAAATTGTATGAATCTTAATTACATTGAATTGGTTGATAGTGCTTTTCATGTCTACTATAGCCTTCTACTTTTCTGTCTATTCATTCTATCCATTTTTGAGAGCTTGATATTGAAATTCCAACTAAAAATCTTAATTTATCTACTAAAAATATAATTGTAATATGTAGTGGAACTATATGTAACCTTGTTCTGTATTTTCCAATTCTCCTGTAAATGTGTTATAATACTTCCATAATTTAAAAAATAAGAAAGAAGGGGGGAAAAGAAATTTTCCATCCAGCCCATGAGTAGAGAGGAAGGCAGGAGCAAAGACTTTGAGGTGAGGACAAGCATGAGGTGTTTGGGGGACAGTTGAGCCAGTGGTTCTCAAATGTGGCTGCAATTCGGAATCACCTGACAGCTTTAAAATATACTGATGCCTAGAGACATCTCTGGTGGTCTCATGGTTGAGAATCTGCCTCCCAATGCAGGGAGCACGGGTTGGATTCCTGGTCCAGGAAGATACCACATGCTGCATGTGGAGCAACTAAGCCCGTATACCACAACCACTGAGCCCGTACACCCAGAGCCTATGTCCGCCAGAGAAGCCACCATCACGAGAAGCTGATGCGCCGCAACTAGAGAGTAGCCCGTGCTCTCCACAACTAGGGGAAGCCCAAGGGCAACTGTGAAGACCCAGGGCAGCCAAAAATAAATAGTTAAAAATACATATATATATACACAATATATATGCATATATTATATATATCCTGATGCCCAGATTCTACCTCCAGAGTTTCTAACCAAATCCGTGTAGCATGTGGCCTCAGCACTGGGATTGTTAAAACTCCCCAGGTGATTTTAATGCATAGAGAGATCCACTAGGGTAGATGATGTAGTCTTTCAATTGGGCAATAAAAGTTTAGAATTGATGAGATTGCAAAGTCCCCAAACCACCTGAGTTGGGCCGTGACCCAACGTAACTGTTTCTGTGTACCATGGAACAGGTACAGGTGGGTACATGATACATCTTGACATTGTTTCACTCTTTTTCTCACATCTGCTTCAGGGTGTTCAAGAAGGTTTATCTTGAACTGGTTATGGGTCCACATAAACGTTGATTGCTTCAGTCCTGCCTTTTCATCCTAGATTCTTTGAACTTGATCATCAAAATCTTTCATTTGGTAATCATTCTAAAATCTATTCTAAGGATACAACAATGTGAAAATCAGGGTACTTTTTACAGGGAACAATGACATAGTTGTCACAATGAATAGTATTAAGTATTCGTTGAGAATTATGGCACATTTAAAAGTGGACATTTAATTTCCAAATACATGGAGTTTTTAAAGTATCTTTGATATTAATTTCTCATTTAAATGCTTTCTTCCCTGCACTTGCCCCCTGTGTTCTTTTGGTCTTCTAACCTTATTGAGGCTTTCAATGGATAAGTCAAAGATCTCTCTCGGTAAATGTCACACTGCACTTGAAAATAGGTGGGTTATTTTCATCTATCTTGATTTCTAACATAAATCCACAGTGATAAAGAGAACAGACTCTGTATGATTTCAATACATTTAGACCATAAAATTTTTGCAACTTGTTTTATATCCCTGGATATGTTCCAGTGTCTCCCAGTTTATAGTCTATGAGAACTTGAATTTGTATCCTACCATTGTGTGAAAATTCTGTAAATCTTAAATATGTTGAGTCGGTTCATGGTACTTTTCAGGTCTACTATTTCCTTCTACTTTTCTGTCTATTCATTCTATTAATTTTTGAGAGTTTGATATTGAAACTCCAACTAAAAATCTCAATTTATCTACTAAAAAATCATAACATATAGTGGAACTATATGTAACTTTGTCTTGTATTTTCCAAGTCTCACGTAAACATGTTATCATAATCTCATAACTTAAAAAAATAAAAAAGAAAGAGAAAATAAGAATAAGGTCAAAATTCTTGTGGAAACAACTCTAGAGGTGTCTCAGTCTCCACATCTCACAAAGAATAATCCCTAAGATATTTCAGAGGTCTTGTTTTAATAAGGTAATGTATATGACAGAGCCCTCTTGTCAAATTTAATGCAAAAGCCTAGTCTATTGAAATCTCAGGCTCTGTTGTAGGTCTTACCATAACTTTCATTCTCAGGAATGAAACATTCACTGAGTTGAGCCCATGCACATAAAACATTCAATTCAGTTCAGTCGCTCAGTCATGTCCGACTCTTTGCAACCCCGTGGACTGCAGCACATCATGCTTCCCTGTTCATCACCAACTCCCGAGCTTGCTCAAACTCATGTCCATTGAGTTGGTGATGCCATCCAACCATCTCATCCTCTGTCGTCCCCTTCTCCTCCCACCTTCAATCTTCCCCAGCATCAGGGTCTTTTCTAATGAGTCAGTTCTTTGCAACAGGTGGCCAAAGTATTGGAGCTTCAGCTTCAGAATCTGTCCTTCCAATGAATATTCAGGATTGATTTCGCACCGTTAGATGGTTCATTAAATCATCATCCTGAAGTATTTCTCTCGCAGGAGTTTGTTTGTGGTAGGAAAATAAATATGTTGACGTTTTAAAAAACTAGTTGAGTAACAGAATTCATGTTTCTCTTTATGGTTACTCTTTTGGCACTAGCAGAAAGAAAGTACTATATTTTCTTGAAAATTCAGTTTTAGTGAGTATATCAAACAAGTGTTTAAGATTATGTAGTTGGATAAAGACTTGTGTAGTTATTAGGTTAAAAAGAATATGTAAATCTAAGAAAAACAGCATTTTAAACTTGAAGTTTGAACCCAGCTCAACCAGCTTTTGGCTTGTACAGCAGTGATGTTCTGTCACACTTACCATGGATTTATATTTAATTATATGCTCAGGATAGCAGAATGTTTGACAGAATGATGCCTTCATAAGATTTTCCCAAGAGAACTTGATTTACATATATATATATATGTATGTGTATATACACACACACACACACACATAACCCTGGAGGAGGGCCTGGCAACCCACTTCAGTATCCTTGCCTGGAGAATCTCAGGGAGAGAGAAGCCTGGTGGGCTACAGGCTACAGACCATAGTGTCAAAAGAGTTGGACACAACTGAAGTGACTGTGTACACACAGTGTGTGTATATACAGCAAGGAGATCCAACCAGTCCATCCTAAAGGAGGTCAGTCCTGGGTATTCATTGGAAGGACTGATGTTGAAGCTGAAACTCCAATACTTTGGCCACCTCATGTGAAGAGCTGACTCATTGGAAAAGACCCTGATGTTGGGAGGGATTGGGGGCAGGAGGAGAAGGGGACGACAGAGGATGAGATGGTTGGATGGCATCACCGACCCAATGTACATGAGTTTGAGCAAGCTCGGGAGTTGGTGATGGACAGGAAGGCCTGGCATGCTGTGATTCATGGGGTCGCAGAGAGTCGGACACAACTGAGCGACTGAACTGAACTGAACTGATATATATATGTGTGTGTGTGTGTGTGTGTGTGTGTGTATACGCTCTTGCTCATGAGATATGATATAGACAATGGCTTATTATTTAGAATGGCTCTTAATAATATAATCATTGCTCTTTTATTATTGCTAACTTTTACATGTCTTTCTGTTGTTTTTTGGTTAATTTACTTTTATTTTTGGTCACACTGGGTCTTCATTCCTGCACGAGGGCTTTCTCCAGCTGTGGTGAGCAGGTGCTGCTCTCTTTTTCCAGAGCACAGGCTCTAGGGCGCGTGGGCTTCGGTAGTTGCTGCCCCATGGCTCTAGAGTACAGCCTCAGTAGTTGTGGGGCACCCACTTAGTTCCTCCCAGGCATGGGGGATCTTCCTAAATCAGTGGTGAAATCCATGTCCCCTGCATTGGCAGGCAGATTCTTTACCACTGAATCACCCAGGAAGCTTTATATTATTAGTATTTACTGGAAGATTTTTTTTTTTTTTAAGAAGCAGAAGAAACTGAGGTTTGGAGGAGTTAAATAACCTGCACTAAGTTACTTTAATCAATACCTGCCATCCCAGGGCAACACTCTGTTTCAAATCCCTCCCCCTGGTTTAAGAATAAACCGGGTATCCTCTGAAATCAGATATGTCGTACTCCCAGTCTCCTTTGAGGATTCGGTCTTAGTTTTCAAAAATATAAGAAGTGTCAGGTGAACCCCAAAAGTCAAAGGTGATTAGGAAGGAGTTCAAAGAATTAGAAAATGATGAGGAGATAAAACCTCATTGAGCACCTGGGCTCCTTCACACAGGTGTAGACCCTTGTAGATGACTGAAGGCAAGATTCCACTCCCAGTCCACTGAGAACAAGACGGAACCTACCTCCCAGGTGTCCAAGAATGTTGCTTAACTGATGATGTATCGCCTTTATCATCTTTGGGAATAAAGTCCTCCCCAGGCTGTAAATGCGAAACAAGAAGCTTAGCGGAGTGTGCATCTGAACACCTGATCCTGTGAGGTTTCAGGATCCTGACTCGTCCTAAACACCCACATCTGCATACAATTTTTTTTTCCAAGCTCCACAGTATAAATTTCAAGAAGCTGAGTCGAAATAAAATCTCTAAATCAATCTGCTAGAGTAAAACACACAAGTTCTTGTATTTTAGGAATTACTGGACTTTTTTTTCCTTTTGGCCATGCCACACAGCTTCTGAGATCTTAGTTTCCTACCCAGGGATTGAACCCATGCCCTTGGCAGTGAAAGCATGGAGCCCTAACCACTGGACCCTGAGGGAATTTCCAGAAACCGCTGGACCGATTTTGAAGTCTATCACAAGCACATCCAAAAGCCACCATTAGCCCCATGGGCATTGATTTCTCACATGCACTTGGGGACAAAGTTCAATTTCAGGAGGTGAGAGAGCTGGGAGTTCATGTCCCTCGGGCTCTCTGGCAAAGGCAGGGGCAGAGTCCTATTTCCTCACTGAGCACTGGCTACCTTCCAGCATGATCATACTCGGGCTCCTCTCCAAAATGGCATTCCCAGCGCATCAGTTAACGAGAGGACTGAGCCCTGAAACAGCATTATGTAAGAGCTGCCCCGGGAGGAGAGCCCTTGGCATGGAATCAGGACCGAAGCAGAGTGGCAGTTGCAGCTTGCCTGGGCTGCCAGAAATCATAACTTTCTCAAACGTAACAGAGAAAGCCAAGGTGTGTGGTCACCTCCACATTGGTCCATGGACTCGGACTCCTTTTCAGGCCAGTGTCTTTCTGCTCCACCGTCTCATCCTGAAAACTTTCCTGTGGAGTCCTGGAGTCCAAGGCCTCTTGCTTCAGCTCCCCTTGGTCCCCAGCCTCCAGCCCCCAACCCTCCCCTCCCCACTCCTGACACAGCTGCTATCTTCCAACATGTGTCCAGGAACCAGAGACTGGCACGGGGAGGAACTTCAACCTGTAATGCCTGTGGAAAGTGAATAAGGTAGAGGTCCAGATAGTCCAGTCTCAGATCCTTGAGGGTCTTCTGACAGGATTCCCTCACTAGATGCTTCTCCATGAAGGTGGGCCATAACTGCAGAGAGCAGAGCAGGGAGAAGTCAGCAATGGACAGAGAAGGGGCTACCTTTCTCTGCTTTCCCTGTTTTTTGACCCTCAGCTTGAGCTAACCCCAGGGGCGGGCCATTTACAGCACAGCGGGTTAAGATGCATCATCCAGGGATGCAAGGTCACCAGGTTTCTCTGGAAGTCACTGACAACTCTTAAGTGTCAACGGCAAGTTATCTTTTCGACTCACCTGGTGTTCTGTGTATTTGTTACATCAGGTACCATATTTGGGCACAGACTCGGCATCTGTTCACAGGTGCCTTTCTCTTCCTCAGCAGTAGGCTTTCTGAAGGTATGAATTGCGACCAGCATTTAAGTTCTTAAGCCTTTGGGAACAGGTGATCCTCCACTGCTCTTCTATGTCTCCAAGCCCATGGGCCACAAATGATAACTCTACAAGGAATTTATCCAGACGCAACCAGTGGGGTCTATTTGTCCCACTAGATACAAGCACATTCCAAGTACCTATGACTAGTTGCTTTCAGCAAATTGGGTATTATGCATATTCAGTGATTCTCAACCCTCTCAACCTACTCCGGTACTCTTGCCTGGAAAATCCCATGGACGGAGGACCCTGGTAGGCTGCAGTCCATGGGGTCACTAAGAGTTGGACATGACTGAGCAGCTTCATTTTCATTTTTCACTTTCATGCATTGAAGAAGGAAATGGCAACCCACTCCAGTGTTCTTGCCTGGAGAATCCCAGGAACAGGGGAGCCCGGCAGGCTGCCATTTATGGGGTCGCACAGAGTCAGACATGACTGAAGTGACTTAGCCACGCTGCAGCAACCCTCTCTCACTCCACCCCTCCCTCTTTTTATAACATTCTATAGCTTGCCTTTCCCTAGACTGAACTGAAGTGGAATTCATATATGACAATAAGTATGTCCCACCATTTTCCAAAGTACCTGCCAGCTGAGAACCTCTGGGCTGCAACCACTGAGACCACAGTGCTGAAAGGTGGAGCTTCAGGATCCAATTGCAGTCTTAGCTTTTGGCTGCCAAGGGGAAGATGGAGCCCACCAACAGGGAACAGGGATGCTAAGGACATCACCGTGGCTCAATGGAGACTTCTCCTTTAGGGGAAAACCCACTGAAGACAGGTGGGTAGCAGCAGCATCTTTGCACCAACATTGGACGATAATGTGGATGTTTGTGTCCAGGGATGTTATAAAGACAGTGATGAAGATGGCTGGGGGAAGTGACCTGAGTTGTTCTTGGTGTTGTTCAGTCACTCAGTCATGTCCAACTCTTTGTGACCCCATGGACTACAGAATGCCAGGCTTCCCTGTCCTTTACTGTCTCCCTGAGTTTGCTCAAACACATGTCCATTAAGTCAGTGACACCATCCAACCATCTCATACTCTGTCACCCTTTTCTCCTGCCCTCAATCTTTCCCAGCATCAGGGTCTTTTCCAATGAGTCAGATCTTTGCATCAGGTGGCAAAAGTATTGGAGCTTCAGCTTCAGCCTCAGTCCTTCTAATGAATATTCAGGGTTGATTTCCTTTAGTATTGAATAATTTGATCTCCTTGCTGCCCAAAGGACACTAAAAAGTCTTCTCCAGCACTACAATTTAAAGCATCAGTTCTTCAGTGCTCAGCCTTCTTTAGTCCAACTCTCACATCTGTACATGACTACTGAAAAAAACCATAGTTTTGATTATATGAACCTTTGTTGGCAAAGTGACATCTCTACTTTTTAATATGCTGTCTAGGTTTGTCATAGCTTTCCTTCCAAAGAGCAAGTGTCTTTTAATTTCACGGCTGCAGTCATCATCCATAGTGATTTTGGAGCCTAAGAAAATAAAGTCTGCTACTGTTTCCATTTTTTTCTCCATCTACTTGTCATGAAGTGATGGGACCAGATGCCATGATCTTTGTTTTTTGAATGTTGAGTTTTAAGCAAGCTTTTTCACTCTCCTCTTTCACCTTCATCAAGAGGCTCTTTAGTTCCTCTTCTCCTTTTGCCATTAGAGCTGTATCATCTACATATCAGAAGTGGTTGATATTTCTCCTGGCAATCTTGATTCCAGCTTGTGATTCATCCAGTCCAGAATTTCACATGATGTACTCTGTATATTAGTTAAATAAGCAGGGTGACAATATACAACCTTATCGTACTCCTTTCCCAATTTTGAAACAGTCCTTTGTTCTATGTCTGGTTTTAACTGTTACTTCTTGATCTGCATAAAGTTTTCGCAGGAGGCAGGTAAGGTGGCCTGGTATTCCCATCTCTTTAAGAATTTTCCACAGTTTGTTGTGGTTCACACAGTCAAAGGCTTTAGTGTAGTCAATGAAGCAGAAGTATATGTGTTTTTGTTTTTGTTTTTTGGAATTCCATTGCTTTTTCTATGACCCAACAGTTGTTGGCAATTTGACCTCTCATTCCTCTGCCTTTTCTAAATGTAGCTTGCACATCTAGAAGTTCTTGGTTCACATACTGTTGAAGACCAGCTTGAAGGATTATGAGCATTATCTTGCTAGCATGTGAAATGAGCACAATTATATGGTAGCTTGAGCAATCTTTGGCATTGCCTTTCTTTGGGATTGGAATCAAAAGTGACCTTTGCCAGTTCTGTGGCCACTGCTTAATTTTCCAAATTTGCTGGCATGTTGAGTGCAGCACCTTAACAGTATCATCTTCTAGGATTTGAAACAGCTGAGTTGCAATTCCATCACCTCCACTAGCTTGCTTGTAGTAATGCTTCCTAAGGCCCACTTGATTTTGCATTCCAGGATGTCTGGCTCTAGGTGAGTGATCACACCATCATGGTTATCTGGGTCATTAAGATCATTTTTATATAGTTCTTCTGTGTATTCTTTCCATTTCTTCTTAATCTCTTCTGCTTCTGTTAGTTCCTTGCCATTTCTATCCTTTATTGTGCCCATCTTTGCATGAAATGTTCCCTTGGTATTTCCTCTTTTTTGGAGGTCTCCAGTAGCCCTTCCAACAAATGTTAATCTAGTCAAAGCTATGGTTTTTCCAGTAGTCATGTATGGATGTGAGAGTTGGACCATAAAGAAAGCTGAGCACTGAAGAATTGATGCTTTTGAACTGTGGTGTTGGAGAAGATTCTTGAGAGTTTCTTGGACTGCAAGAAGATCCAACCAGTCCATCCTAAAGGAAATCAGTCCTGAATATCCATTGGAAGGACTGATGCTGAAGCTGAAACTCCAATACTTTGGCCATTTGATTCAAAGAACTGACTCATTGGAAAAGACCCTAATGCTGGGAAAGACAGAAGGCAGGAGGAAAAAGGGATGACAGAGGATGAGATGGTTGAATGGCATCACTGACTCAATAGACAGGAGTCTGAGCAAGCTCCAGGAGTTGGTGAAGGACAGGGAAGCCTGGCGCACTGCAGTCCATGGGGTCACAAAGAGTCGGACACAGCTGAGCTAAACTGAAGTGAGGAGCCCTACCATAGAGCATGTAGACTCCAGGACTGGGTTGCTCTAGGCCAAACGACTAATAGGAAAGCAGCACAGTCCACCCACCAGCAGGCAACTGGTTTAAAGATTAACTGAGAGTATCCCTGCCCACCAGAACAAGACCCAGTTTTCCCCACAGCCAGTCCCTCCCATAAGGAAGCTTGTACAAGCCTCTTAACCTCATCCATCAAAGGGCAGACTATAATTCCAAAGCCTCCAGAGCAAAAACCACAATCACAGAAAGCTAACCCAAATCATCACATGGATCACAGCCTGTGTAACAAAGCCATGCCATGCAGGGCCACCCAAAATGGATGGGTCATAGTGGAGAGTTCTGACAAAATGTGACCCACTGGAGCAGGGAATGGCAAACCACTTCAGTATTCTTGCCTCCTGAACCCCCTGAACAGTATGAAGAGACAGAATTCTGGATGCTGACTAGATCCAACACTGCTGGCTGCTTTGAAGGGTAGTCTTCCCACCAGGTGAGCCCTTGGTACGTTGCTCACTATGAAGAGCTCCTCCCGCTTCACAGCCTTCTCTTGGATCTTCTCTTGGATGGTTTCCCCCACCTCATGCTCATTCTCGTAGGCATAAGCACAGTCCAAGTGGCGATATCCTATGTCAATGGCCCCCTTCACAGCCTCTCTGACTTCTCCTAGGCCAAACTGGAAGGAAAAAGAAAAAACCATCTCCCCAGACCACCTTCAACAAGCCGTCTTACTCAGCCCAGCTTCTCCAAACCAAGATCTCCCTGAGATCCCCTTTCCTAGGGGACACCTGGGAGAAAAGCATGCTTTGGAAAACTTTTCAAAAGAGAAGGAAGGAAAGCAAATCAATTTTATGATTATAAATCACGTCCCATCCTAACTCAGGCGTATTCCCTTCTGATTCAGGTTCATGCTCCAGCCCAGAAGTGTCTCCAGGTATGTAGAAGTGAAGTGAAGTGAACTGAAGTCGCTCAGTCGTGTCCGACTCTTTGCGACCCCGTGGACTGTAGCCTACAAGGCTCCTCCATCCATGGGATCTTCCAGGCAAGAGTATTGGAGTGGGTTGCCATTTCCTTCTCCAGGGGTCTTCCTGACCCAGGGATTGAACCCAGGTCTCACGCATTGTAGGCAGACACTTTACTCTCTGAGCCACCAGGGAAGTCAAAGTATGTAGAAGAGACTGCAAACTCTCTCTAATAACCAGGCTACACACTGGATTTTGAAATAAACCAAAGGAATTTTCAGAGAGAAAGTGGTTATTACCTCATAAATTCAGGCTCATCTCATGCTAGGTGTGTGGCCTGAGCAGATTGCTCAATTTCTCTAAACCTTGTCTGCAAAATGGGAATAATGACAACAGCATCTGCCTCATGAAGCCATTGCGGCTTCCCAGGTGATGCTAATGGTAAAGAATCCGCCTGCCAATGCAGAGGATGTAAGAGATGGGAGTTCAATTCCTGGGTCAGGAAGATCCCCTGGAGAAGGGCGTGGCAACCCACTCCAGTGTTCTTGCCTGGAGAACCCCATGGACAGAGGAGCCTGGTGGGCTACAGTCCATAGGGTCACAAAGAGTTGAACATGACTGAAGTGATTTAGCATGTACATGCATGAATGAGGTCACTGTGGTAAGTGCCACAGTGAGTGTCAAATTTGAAGTACAGCACCAGGCATATACCTAAGAGTGGATAAAACGCATTATATAATTATTGTTTCAGAAAAGGAGAAATAGAAAACCTTGTAAAAATGGAATGTCTCCCCTCACTCGAAGGCAGAAAGTTTTTCTTTCTTTGAAGAAAGGAGAGAAGGAAAGAGAGAGAGGCAGGAGGGAAGGAAGGGAGGAAGAAAAAAGACAGAAGGAAGGAAGGAAGGGCATTAGAAATACCACATTCTGTCTAATCTAGCCAAGCCAAACAATGAAAAAAAAAAGAAGCATTTACTACTGATCTTCTGGTGGGCTACAGTCCATGGGGTCACAAAGAGACAGACACGACTGAGCGACTAACACTTTCACTTAAACTGCTTAAAACTTGATACCTGCTAGGAAAGCTCTCACCACTACTGGAAGAAGTCAGTCTTTGAGCACTACAACTGAATCAGCCCTGAGAAAGCAACCTCAATCCTGCCTCCAGCGCCCAATATTTACCTCCCCAAAACCCTTGCCTCTGGGCTTTCCCTCAGGACAGGAGAAAATGCCCAAAGCACCTCAAGGGAAGAAGGTGTCCAAATTTTTGCATACTTACTTTCCAGGTGCCCAGTCCCAAGATGGGCACTTTAGCCTTGGTACTGAGCTCCACAAAGTTGGCCATAGTGCGTGCAGAAAATAGCCCTGAGGGAGCAAGTTAGATGTCTTCTGCCCCACTGAAATGTACTGACTGCAGAGGAAGCAGCCTGCCCTGGCACGAACAGGAAAGTCCTTTCAGCCTTTTGTAAGTTTCAGGTTAGTGAAAACCAAACACTGTTACCTCGAGAGAGTTCTCCCTGATTAAAAAAAAGCATGAATTTTTAATGAGTGAAATTTTACCAACAAATTAAAATACATGCACATGGAAAATAAAAATGTGTATCTATTTTAATTGTTCCTATCTTATTACTCAGCTGTTGTAAATTTCTTTTCCCCTCAGAGCATGGAAACTATCGAAGTATAAGAATATATTTGTCTGTTAACCACCTGGATAGGACCCTTGTATGCTAATATTCATCATATATTAGTGATGCTTGTCACTTTCTTGAAAAACAAACTTTGTGATTGAAAAAAAATGCTATGTACTCAAGTCCTAACAAGCCCTAAACTTTTAGGCTTCTTTTCCCTTAAGACAATGTTCATGTGAGATTCTTCTTTTTTTTCTTTTAATTTCAATATTTTTATTCACATGAAAAAATTGGAAATATAGAAAACTGATCAAGAAATTAATTTGGGTTAGTGAAATTGTTAAAGTAATTTCTTATCAAGAAAAAATGATATATACTCATTATAGTAAAACTGAAAAATGTAGGCTATAAATAAGGAAATATTAATCACCTATATTCTCACCACTCATGATACCATTACAAGAGTACTGTTTCCTCCAGACTTTCATATATGTGTAAATGTGTGTGCATGTATGTGTATACACATTCCAAATATATATTTAATACATTGCATATGTTACTGAACTCAGGTTTGACTGCTAGTCACCTAAGTAACCAATACTGAGTAGTATTGGTTTGGTGGAAAAGAAAGACAGCTTTATTGCAGAAGCCCATAGTCCTGGGGAGAAGGTGGACTCATGTCCCAAAAAACCAACTCCCAACTCCCCAGGTTTTGCTCTGAGATAACAGAGGGAAAAGAGGAAGAGACCACGTGCTTAGGAGAGGGTTATGGGGTATGTGAACTCAGCTCATGGACAGTCTTCTGATTGGTTGGTGGTGAGGTAATTAGAATTCAATATCATCAGACTTCTGGTTCCAACTAATCTGAGGTCTCTGTGCTTTTCTCCAGAAAGGGGAGTATGTGATCAAAGGAAATCTGCTTTTGTTTATCATGCGAAATGTGGTTCAAAATTGAATTTTTAAAATAGTGGTTTTTTAATTAATTAATTTTTGACTATGCTGGTCTTCATTGCTGTCGGTAGGCTTTATCTCATTGCAGTGAACAGGGACTCCTCTTGTTGGGGAGCATGAGCTCTAGGCACTCAGGCTTCAGTAGTTGTGGCACATGGACTCTAGAGCACTTGGGCTTCAGTAGTTGTGGTGCAAGGGCTTAGTTGTTCTGCTGCATGAGGGATCTTCCTGGACCAGGGATCGAATTTGTGTCTCCCTGCACTGGCAGGCAGGTTCTTAACCAGTGGACCACCAGGAAAGTCCCAAAACTGAGGGGTATTTTTGCAACACCATTTACAGAATAACACACTCCACCATTTGTGATGTTTCAGTAATTATTTACAACTTTCATTTTTTAAATATAAAAAGAAAAATCAGTAGAGAACACAGAATAGATTAAGAAAATAAAACCCACACATAGTCCCACATTTAGAAATGATTATTGTTGATATTTTGGAGCATATCTAAGGATACCCAGTTGAGTTCGGATGCCCCAAAGTGGAGGATGAGTGTGCCTCATTTCCCAGGGTGAGGCTGTGGAGAAGGCATCAAGTCTAGGATGGGATCTCTTGGTTCCCAAAACTGTAAGGTCTTCATGACCACAGGAAGTGTCCAGATGAGTGGCTAAATGTAGTCTCAGGGTGTCCCATGAGCCCCAGGGGCTGGGAGAGCAGCCCGATTACTTACGTCCACTGGCAAAGCTGGCTAAAAGGAAGTGAAACAAAACAAGTGAGACCATTGCCCTGCACAAGACCAAAAGAGGCAAAGGTCTTTTGCAGAAGGAGAAAGGCTTTACTGCAGGGCCAAGCAAGGAGACAGTAGGCAAAGCTCAGATCTGTCTCCCCGATGGGCTTTTGTGTGGGGTATTTATTGTGGAAGCAGGGAGCAAGATGGGGAGGCAGCTCTGAAACTTCTGGTGGAAATGAAGGAGAAGTTTCAGGAATTCTGTGCACAGGGGTGACTGTCCTTCATGCCTCTTCATGGGTGGTATGTGCAGTATCAGGATAGTTCCAAATGTTATACATGGTAGATTTTTGGCGCACGGAGTACAAAGTCCACGATTGATCATTTTAGTCCCTCAATGTGCCAGTGGGAGATGCTGCTAGTCAGTGTTTCCATATCTAGTTTCCCTGGTGCTCTGCAAGACAAGCTTAGGGGGAAGTCTCTATTAATTGTCTTGTTTCTACCTTATGTCCTTGAGTGTGTGCATAACAGGGTAAGGTTTCAGAAGGACTGGTGAGCCCCGGAACATCTCAAGTCAGAAACTGAGAAAGCTGTGACAAACATAAGTTCATCATGCATATGATATTCAGTGGAACTGGATGGATGTTGTAGAGTGGGCTGTATAACTAAGGATTTGATGGGAATAAGGACATCTCAGATAGCTACACAAAAGGATGGATGATCACACCTAAGGACCAGATATATGAATCCCAGTTCAGGGAAAGTCAATGTATAGATGGTGATTCACACCAGTTACTTTTCCCACACTGCTTGATTTTGCAAGTCTCTTCTAAACCCTGCTGATACCTACAGGAAGGAATCCTAAATGTAGTGGATTTTAATCCTGAAATACAAGAAAGTCAAAGCAAAGACTTTGGCAAAGAAGAAAGGCAGTGTAAGCTGAAAGTGTAACACAGAACATTTTCAGAAGTGTATATCATCAGCCAGAAGCAGTTGCATGCAGCCCATTTTTTCATTCATGCCATCAAAAATTAATTTCAGTCTTACTTATAAACCAAAGCAAGCTTTAGTCTCCTGATGAACTGAGGAATATCTGGTTCAGAATTTATCTCACAGGAAGAATGATCCAGCCAGAAGTCTTACTCAGCTTAAAACAAACAAACAAAAAGCCTTCGTTGTCAGATGAGAAGAGAGGTAATTCTGATTCTGATTTACTATTATTATTACTATTAGTGGCCATGTGCAATACCCAATAGTGTTCTCATTTATTCAAGTAGCCTAATGAGGTAGATACTATTACTATCCCCATTTCATAACAGAGGAGCTGACACATTGAAATGTTCAGTAGTTTGTTCAAGGTAAATGCTAGAGCTAGAATATGAATACAGGTTATTGGGCTCTAAAGACAAAGCCAGTGTGACAGACGAGCCTGGCAGGCTTCAGTCCATGGGGTCACAAAAAAGTCGGATATGACTTAGCAACTAAACATAAGCAAACACCAAAGCAGGAGAGAGGCTGTAGCATCTGGTAGGGGATGGCAGTGGGGATTCTCGGGGACACTGGCAACCAGTGGAAGTGGCTGACATGTGCAGAAATGATGCCGGTATCTGTAGGTCTTACACACTCATCGGAAGGGGTGGTGGGGCCAGCACATGGCAGACAATGGCCAGCAGGGTGCGTCCAAGAGCATGAGAAGGCTGTTCTCTGGTGTACTGGTCACCTACTGCGGCACGATAAATTATTCCCCAAAAAACAGTTTAAAACAACAAACATTTATTTTCTCATAGTTTGTGTGGATTGATGACTCACAGTGATCCATGACCAGCAAACCCAGACGTCCAGACTGATCAAGCATGTATTCAGCTATGTAAATTAAGGAAATATGAGTCATTTAGAGCATAAAAGAAAACATATTTTGAGGAAAGATTGCCAGAACAGGCAAAAACTCTCAAGTTTCATTTCTGCTGCCCAGAAAACCATGTTCTCACGAGAAAGGGTCCTCAGGTACAGGCATCCCTGGAGTGTAGAAGGAAGTCAGATGGGGTTTTGTCTTTGTTTCCATAAAAATACATGTTTCTAGATATCAACGTGTATGTTTTTCATTCATGTACTTGGGGAGTGGTCAGGTGCATGAACTGACTCCGTCCATGGGGTATGAACATCATTGCTTCACACAATGTTTAAGTATTAAAAAAGTGTAAAGTGTTAGTCGCTCAACTGTGTCTTACTCTTTGCAACCCCATGGACTGTAGCCCGCCAGGCTCCTTTGTTCATGGGATTCTCCAGAATCTGGAGAATCTCCAAGAATACTGGAGTGGGTTGCTATTCCCTTCTTCAGGGGATCTTCCTAACCCAGGGATCGAACCCAGGTCTCCCACATTGCAGGCAGATACTTTACCATCTGAGCCACCTGGGAAGCCCATGGATTTATCTGTTCCCCCTGTCTTATTTCTGTTCCTCATGCTGAGGCCATATGCTAGCATTTTGGTGAACTGCTTTCATGATACCGCTGTGAAATCTGCCTGCGTTTGGAGTTTATATGAACAGTGCTGTGCTATAAGCATTTAGTCCATAGGCTCACACAGTGCTCTGTGCTGTGCATCTTGCTTACAATCTCCGTCTTTATCCAGGTAAAGAGACCATTCCTTCTCAAGGAGAAGGACAGGATCCCCTGAGAAGTATAGGATCCCCTGAGACAGACTGTCAGGCAAGGGAGAGATCAGGTAGAAGAGGAAACACCCTGCAGAAAGAGAGAGGGAAAGGAAGGATGCTGTCGCCACGAGGCCAAGCGCTTGTGTGCTATTTTCCCACTTCTCATCCAAGGTCACTTTACTGAGTGGAGATCACCATCATCCTCCTACGGTGGAGGAAGAGCTTCAGAGAAGTTAGGTAAACTATTCAGGTCAGTCATCTGAGGGAACGTTGATCACCTTAAAGGTCACACATAGACCCAGATCAGGCTTTTCCTCAAGCAGCGGTTCTCAACCTTACGTGTACACTAGCATCACCTGGGGAACTTATAACCACTGACACGCGGGACTGC